CTAGAGTGGACCTTCAGAAAAGGAATAGTCTGAGAGCACTTATGAAAGAAAGCAGTCATCACCTTTAGGAATCAGTCCTTGGCTGAACTATTTCCTTTCTCGTTTGGGTTAACAGGCCAATACACAGAAGAGTCTCAAGTCCCAAAATCTTTTGGGTTAGGCTGCATTTCCCTGTCTTCAGTGTGGGCAGCTTCCTTTTCTTTCATGTCGTGACTATGCTTGTAATCGTGTATTCACTGTTTGACTTCAATAGACTCTGGGTTAATGAGTGCAGGGTGTGACCACCCCCGACCAGTTCACTGCTGCGTCCACAGTTCCTAGCCTTGTAGAGACTGATGAATCAATCAAAGAACCAGTTACACAATGGGTAGATGGAGAATGTGAGCTGGATGATAATAGGTAGAATGATAAGTGAATACGCAAATACGTTTTTTAAAAATTTAGAAATTAGTGAATTGATGTCACTCTGAAGATTAACTCCAAGAATAAAGTCTTAGAACAGGGGAAAAGCTTTACGACAGTGGGTTTCACAATAATTTCTTGGATATGATACCAAAAGCACAGGTGAGGAAAGAAAATATAGATGAGATCGATTTTATCAAAATTAAGAAAAACCTTTTGTGCATCAAAGAACAGTCATCAGCATGAAAAGGCAACCCATGGAATGGGAGAAATATTTTAAAATCATTTATCTGATGAGGAGTTAATATCCAGAATATATAAAGAACTCCTGCAACACAGCAGCAACCAGAAATCCTAATCAGAAAACGGGCTAAAGACTGGAATACACATTGCTGCGTGGAAGAGATACAAAAGGCCAATAAGCACATGAAAAGATGCTCCACATCCCTAGTCATCACGGAAATGCAAGCTAAAACCACAATGAGAAAACAAACAAATTTAAAAAAAAAACAAACGTTGACAAGAATGTAAAATGGCGCAGCCCTTGTGGAAGACAGTATGGCAGTTCCTCCAAAATTTCAGCATAGAATCACCATGTAACCCTGAAGTCCACTTCCGGGAATCTACCCAAAGAAGTCAAGGCAGGGACTCATGTTCGCAGCAGTGTTATTTACCATAGCCAAAACATGAAAGGAACCCAAATGTCTATCAGCAAATGAAAGAAAAAATGAGGGCCGGGCACTGTGGCTCACGCCTGTAATCCCAGCACTTTGGGAGGCCGAGGCGAGTGGATCACGAGGTCAAGAGATCGAGACCATCCTGGTTAACATGGTGAAACCCCGTCTCTACTAAAAATACAAAAAATTAGCTGGGCATGGTGGCGCGTGCCTGTAATCCCAGCTACTCAGGAGGCTGAGGCAGGAGAATTGCCTGAACCCAGGAGGCGGAGGTTGCGGTGAGCCGAGATCGCGCCATTGCACTCCAGCCTGGGTAACGAGAGCGAAACTCCGTCTCAAAAAAAAAAAAAAAAAAAAAAGAAAGAAAAAATGAAATGTGGTAGAGACCTACAATGGAATATTTTCAGCCTTAAAAAGACAGAAAATTCTTTTTCATTTGCTTTGTTGGTGTGAAAAAAGAATTCTGGCTCAGGTTATACCATGGATGAAACTTAAGGATATTATAGGAAGTGAAATAAGCCAGGAGTAAAAAGACAGTAATAATAATCATACGATTCCACTTATAGGAAGTACATAGTCAGATTCTTAGAAATAGAAAGTAGAAAGGTGGTTGCCAGGGTCTAGGGGGAGGGAGAATTGGGGGGTTATTGTTTAATGGGGCCAACCTTAGAATTTTACGTGATGAGAAGTTGTGGAGGTGGATGGCGATGATGATCGCACAGCAATGTGAATGTACTTAGTGCCGCAGCACATTAATGTACACTTAAAATGGTTAAAACGGTCGGTGTTTTGCTATGTATTTTTTACTGCAATTTTTTTAAATGGGCAAAAAAAGCATCTCGATTATAAGCACTGGGCCTTTATCCTAGGTCCTTACGTCAGTTTGATGAAAATATTCCCAGCTTTGCTTTTGATAGAAAAGTTAGAACCAATGTAAAGATGGTTAGGATATGTTTCTAAGGACTTTAAGATTCTGGAAGAGCAGATCAGAATGAATGTTGAAATTAAATAGGAATCATTGTAGAATTGTGAACAGAGGATAACAATAGGCAAAATAATATACAGGATTGGGAGTGATGACTGTTTTACATGAAAAATCTGTTGAGGTTTTCATTTCCTAAAATTCCATTATAACTCCATAGCAGTCAAAAAAAAAAAAAGAAAGAAACTTTTGCCTTTGCCTATTAGTGAAACTGTGCTCAGATAAAAGAAATAGTCGGCCGGTCGCGGTGGCTCAAGCCTGTAATCCCTGCACTTTGGGAGGCCGAGGCGGGTGGATCACGAGGTCAAGAGATCGAGACCATCCTGGTCAACATGGTGAAACCCCGTCTCTACTAAAAATACAAAAAATTAGCTGGGCATGGTGTCGCGTGCCTGTAATCCCAGCTACTCAGGAGGCTGAGGCAGAAGAATTGCCTGAACCCAGGAGGCGGAGGTTGCGGTGAGCCTAGATCGCGCCATTGCACTCCAGCCTGGGTAACAAGAGCGAAACTCCGTCTCAAAAAAAAAAAAAAAGAAAAGAAATAGTCTCACCATGCTCTCTGCTGATCAGATAGTACTGGGGCACCAAACACTTTATTTCTTCTTTGAAGGTATGTGTAAATGGTGATAACACAAGATAAAACTGTGAGGGCAGTTAGGAAACTCAAAACCTGATGCCACTGGCCTCGATTGATGGACCAGGGCGTTTAGCTCGGGAAAAGGAAAATGCAGAAGGACGTAAACAACCGTTTTCAACTGTCCGAAGCGCTGGGATGACAAAGAAGGACTGCTCCTATTCTGTATTTACTCCTGCAGTCAGAATCGAGACAAATGGGCAAAAAGCTAAAAGAAGCCTGATTGATTAGGCGGCAGAATTGTCTAAATATTAGAGCTAATGATGTTCAATGGAATGGCCTCCATGTTGGATGGCTGAGGTGGAGGTGCTGGCCACCTGTCAGGGACACTGTAGGGCAGGAGGTGGCCCCTTCCAGCACCACGATTCTCTTTCTTTCAGCTTCTCAGTCTCAAAATCACTAGAGCGTGTTTGATTCCTACCTCTTCTCCACATCTATCTCCATCATTGCCCCCCTATCTAATGAAGTCTTGGGGTTCTTCCTTCACAGCTCTCTTCGCTTCAACCTTTAGTCTCTATGGCATTGCCAGGAGCCTCACCCCTCAACCCCAGAACACGTGCGTGCTTCCAGTCAGCTCTTCCAGCCTGTCCCTTGCTTCAATCCATCCTGCTTGCCCCTGCCAGGCTCATTTATAAAATACTTAGCATGTAAGTCCTCTGACTAAGTCCAAAGAGTGGGTCCCAATTGCTTCCCATGTCAAGATGAAATTCTTTTTCTTGGCCTTTGGGGCTATTCATTCTTCCCTCCCTTCTCAATTTCATTCTATTGCTCACGTGATGGGTTTTGTGTAAGCTGTTCCCTTTGCTGTCATCTGCCCTGCTCGTCTTTATCCGTCCATTCCCGCTGCTATTCCCTCATTTGTCTTGTCTCATGTGTCCTCTGCCCCCAGCCTCATTATAGGGTTCATCTCATGTACCACAACCAACATGAACAGCATGAGATCTGTGCTGGCCCCCTAAGCTCAGACAAATCCTTCTTCCCTCTCAGTTATTTAACAGCTATTTACTGATGCTTGATAGAGTGCAGGCGCTATGCCAGATGCTGGTAAACAGGTGATGGGGAAGAAAATTTTGGCTCCTGACTTCACGGAGTGGACATGATAAAATACATAATTGCTACGAGGGATACAAACAGGGCATCTGATACAAAATGATGGTGTGTGTGTGTGTTGGGGACAGGTAGGTATTTGACAGGGTACTCAGGGAAGGGCTCTCTGAGGAGATGACAAATAAACTGAGACCTGAGGGGCATGGAGGAGCAGCCATTGGGAATGGCTGGAGTCAGCTATGCCAGGCCAAGAAACCGGTGTGGCTAAGGTCCTCCAAGAAGGCCTCGGCATGCTGGAGACACTGAAACTAACATGGCTCGGCTGCAGCCTAGTGAGCAGGCGGAGAAGAGCATGAGGCAAAACTGGGGAGCCACCAGGGCCTGGCAGGCCTGCTAAAAATCTTGGGTTTCATACTTATTACATTAGGAAGCCATGAAAGGGGCTTAAGGAAGAAAGTGGTGTATGTGATTCATACTTTTTTTGTTGTTTGTTTTTGAGACAGACAGAGTCTCACTCTGTGGCCAGGCTGCAGTGCAGTGATGCGATCTCGGCTCACTGCAGCCTCAGCCTCCCGGGTTCAAGCGATTCTCCTGCCTCAGCCTCTTGAGTAGCTGGGACTACAGGCACGCACCACCACGCCTGGCTAATGTTTGTATTTTTAGTAGAGACGGGGTTTCACCATGTTGGCCAAAGTAGTCTCGATCTCCTGACCTTGTGATCTGCCCGCCTCAGCCTCCCGAAGTGCTGGGATTACAGGTGTGAGCCACTGTGCCTGGCTGATTCATACTTTTTAAGGTTACTTCGTTTATATTGTAGAGAATAGATGGAAGAGCTAGAGTGAAAATACTGGTTAAAGAAAAGCTAATGTAATAAACAAGGTGAATGATAGTGACTTCATCTAGAGTGATGGGAAGTACATGGGTTTGAGGTATATTTTGGAAATTGTCAGGAAAGGATTTGCTGATGGTTTTATATGAGGAGTAAGGAATTAGGAGTGACTCTCAGGTGTCTGACATGAAAACCAGGAGTAGACATATGTCATTTACCGTGCTGGGGAAGTTGCATATGGAGATAAGATTTGGGAGAAATTTAGAAGTTAAGTTTAAGACATGTCAGTTTTGAGGTGCCTGTTAGATAATTTCTCTCCTGGGCCAAGCGGTGCCTGGTTCAGCCTTTGTATGGATGTGAGCCTTGTATTTCCTCATTGGTATTATCACACTTTTAAATAATGACGATTATATTTTAATGGGTTTGCAGGCACCAAGTATAATAGAAATGAAGAAAACTCTAGGGCTTCTCCAGCCTCACTTACAAGGAAAAAGCAAACTCCTCTTCATCGCTGTGTTGACATTTCAAAACCGGCATTTATCGAGACCATCCTGGCCAACATGGTGAAATCCCGTCTCTACTAAAAATACAAACAATTAGCTGGGAGTGGTGGTGTGCACCTGTAGTCCCAGCTACTTGGGAGGCTGATGTGGGAGAATGGCTTGAACCCGGGAGGCGGAGGTTGCAGTGAGCTGAGATCGCGTCACTGCACTCCATCCTGGTAACAGAGTGAGACTCCATCTCAAAAACAAAACAAAATAAAACAATCTGGCATTTAAGTATTTACACTCTTTCATCTATTAAAGGTACATATACATGTATATAAGTAAATCTATATATGTATATGTGTGTATAAAGGTTTTCAATAGCTCGACTACTCGAAGCTATCCTAGAGAACTTGACCAAAGCCCCAGGAGACCATCTGCAGTCTGGAGAACAGAATAAATCACAGTAATCCACCATCCCCTGTAACCAAATACATTCTGACTGAACCCAATGGCAATGGCTCAGTTTCTAGCAAGGTGCCAGGCCCAGCCCTTTCTTCATTTGACGTGGAGAACTGAGCAGCCAGAAGCCAGTACTCCAGAGCCCTTACAGCGCTGCTGAAAGCATGGCCTCGATCACAGAGTGATTCATGGCGATGGACAGGCGTCTCCAGGGAAAACAGCTCACGTTGTAGCTGCTGAGCTTCCGTGTGGGAAGTGAGGAAAATGGAGGCTCCTGGAAGCTTGGCAAAGATGAGAAACAAACATGAGCTCCCGCGGTCTTTAATAAAAGGAACTTTGGCTGTAGAAAAAAAATATATTGAAAACGTAAATTCACCCTCAACACTAATTAATTGGACACTGGATACCACTGAGATTTGTAAGCTGTTTCTGCCCTTGACCCTGCCTCCAGCCTCTGGAGAACGGAAGAGTGTGGCTAGCACAGAGCTGCGGGTCAGACCCTCACGGGAGGGGTGGCTGGTCCAGGTGCAGGTGGTTAGGGTGTGAGAAACCCAGCCTCCCAGATCCGGACAGCAGTGCACACAGCCGGCTCCAGTGAAGACATGCTTCCTAGCGCTGGGTTTCTATAATCTGTTCTTTGGAACCCCAGGGCATCTGCATAATTGTTTGGGGACACTAAGGGGGTATTTTGCAAGAGACGTCTTGAGTTATTTCACGTTTGGTGAAATCACGGAATTTTCCCATGCTTTAACTATGTGTGAGGAAAGAATGTCTGATTCTTCTCTTTATGTTCTCTTCCTATGGTTATACGTACACTCAAGGTCTTCCTCTGGCAGTGCTGGTTACCAAGCACGATTAAGCACTGGACAGAAAGTTAACAGCTGAGGTGGGGTCACCTATAGGCAGAAAACAGATTCACGTCCATTTAAGAGTAACCCAGATAAGAAGCCATGGTAGATAGAGACAACTGTTACTCCGACCCTCATAGCATACCTTCCTTTTAAGATTACTTGTATGATTTAGCCCCCTCCAATAGGAAATGTGTGGCCACACACTGGTCTTGTGCTTTATAAACTTATTGCTTTAAATGCGTTATTAAAATCTTACCAGCCAATTAGGATGCCATGACGTTTCTTAAATGTAAGGGTTTGTGACTTCGAAAAAAATTTCAGGTCTGAGTTAGAGAAAAGATAGTGGCAGTGAGGCTCAAGTTGTCTAAACAGCATGGGAAATAAGATAGCATTCGATGGTATTGAAAGGATTTTGTTGAGTAAGCACATTTTTGCAAGTGATCTTCCTGTAGTTCTCCCGCCCACCCTCAGTCTATCTTCCACATCCCAGCCAATAAGATCACCTGATCCCTTGCTTAAAACTTGGAAGTTCAAACTCTTTAGTGGGCCACGCGGGGCTCTGTGTGACCCACCCTCTCTCTGGGCTTACTTCTCACTGCTGCCTCCCTTAAAGAGGCCATCCCATCAGCTCCCATTTCCTCTGCTTCAGTGCTCACCACCATCCTCCAGGAATGCTATCTCTTTAAGAGTCAGTTCAGGCCGGGCGCGGTGGCTCACACCTGTAATCCCAGCACTTTGGGAGGCCGAGGCGGGTGGATCACGAGGTCAAGAGATCGAGACCATCCTGGTCAACATGGTGAAACCCCGTCTCTACTAAAAATACAAAAAATTAGCTGGGCACGGTGGTGCGTGCCTGTAATCCCAGCTACTCAGGAGGCTGAGGCAGGAGAATTGCCTGAACCCAGGAGGCGGAGGTTGCGGTGAGCCGAGATCGCGCCATTACACTCCAGCCTGGGTAACAAGAGCGAAACTCAGTCTCAAAAAAAAAAAAGTATTTTACATTGTTTTAGGGAAAATGCTACATACTCCTACTTAGTCCTAAAAAAAAAAAAAAAAAAAATGCGGCCCGGCGCAGTAGCTCAAGCCTGTAATGCCAGCACTTTGGGAGGCCAAGGCGGGAAGGATCACGAGGTCAAGAGATCCAGACAATTCTGGCCAACATGGTGAAACCGCGTCTCTACTAAAAATACAAAAATTAGCTGGGCGTGGTGGCCTGCGCCTGTAGTCCCAGATACTCAGGAGGCTGAGGCAGGAGAATTGGTTGAACCCAGGAGGTGGAGGTTGCAGTGAGCCGAAGTTGTGCCACTGGACTCCAGCCTGGTGCCTGGCGACAGAGTGAGACTGTGTCTAAAAAAAAAAAAAAAAAAAAATGCTATGGGCTAGGCACAGTGGCTCACACCTGTAATTCCAGCACTTTGGGAAGCTGAGGTAGGCGGATCACTTGAGGTCAGGACATCGAGACCAGCCTGGCCAACATGGTGAAATCCCGTCTCTACTAAAAATACAAAAAATTAGCTAGCCAGGTATGGTGGCAGGTGCCTATACAATCCCGGCTACTCAGGAAGCCAAGACAGGAGAATCACTTGAACCTGGTAGGTGGAGGCTGCAGTGAACTGAGCTGCGATCGCACCGTTGCACTCCAGCCTGGGCAATGAGTGAAACTTCGTCTAAAAAGAAAAGAAAAATGCTGTGACCGACACTCCCTCCACCAGTTACCCCTGAAGCGAACAAGTCATCACTGCATTCCCTCCATTCAGTCCCCAAATTCAGGAGAGGAAGGAGAGGAGACTGGAGGGGCTCTCACAGGATTATGTTAATCTGAAACATCTTCATCACTTGCACTGATTATTATTTTTTTTTTGAGACGGAGTTTCGCTCTTGTTACGCAGGCTCGAGTGCAATGGCGCGATCTCGGCTCACCGCAACCTCCGCCTCCTGGGTTCAGGCAATTCTCCTGCCTCAGCCTCCTGAGTAGCTGGGACTACAGGCACGCGCCACCGCGCCCAGCTACTTTTCTGTATTTTTAGTAGAGACGGGGTTTCACCATGTTGACCAGGATGGTCTCGATCTCTTGACCTCGTGATCCACCCGCCTCAGCAAAAAAATCTTGAATCATAACAATCCTGCAGGATGCCGGATGTGCACATGTACCCCAGAGCCCAAAGTACAATTAAAAAAAAGAAAAATCTTGCATCAGTTCTCCATACAGTCCAGCTTCTCAAAATGTGATTTTATTTTATAACAATCTTAGTAAATGAAAATTATCATATGTAGACCCTAAGTAAATCTGGCTTGTCAGAGATTATCGTCATGAAATGCTGGCATATGCTGATAAAGTGAAGGAAGATTTATGATGGGGTATTTTAGAAACTCAGGTGGGGAAATGGATCTGCACTGCCGCAAGTTCTCCAGCAGGGGGCTGCGGGGGAGGGCCGCACATCCAGCTGCCCGCAGCCACAGCCAGGTTTCTTGCTAGCCCTCTAAGTGGGTACCCGCTCTGCTCTGTGGGTACCTTTTATGCCTTGACTCCTGGCGCGGGAGAGTAACAACAGGACCACGCACCATTAGTAACTCCAACACTATTGGGTACAGCAAGGAGGGGAGCTACCCAAGAGCCAGACCAGTAGACAAGTACCAGGTGGGACCCTTTCTTCAGGTTCTCATCTTGTGCTGCCCATGCTTGGCTGTTAGTCTGTTCTCATCTAAATACTTTAAAGCCAGAGAACCCAGAAACATGGCTAGGATTGTGAAACAAAATCTTCATTTTACTCTCCTGATTACCACATGAAAATTTCACCACCCGGCACCAACAGATCAGATTGAATCAGAATTCTTAAACTTGGGAGCTCAGTTTCCTCATCTGCAAATGAGCTGATTACCACTAATTTCACAGGGCCCCTTAAAAATCAGCGAGATAAACGTGCAAGGAGGTGACTGGTGGAGTAGGTACTCAAATGTTCATCTCCACATTTTTTGTTGTCTGGGGCCCCTGTGTTACTGAGAAGACAGTGCTGTTGAAAAGCAAGAGAAAACGGCTCTCCAAAACCGTTGTCAGAGAGAAAAGCCCAGACTGCGAAACTCCAGCGGAGCCTAGTTTGTACAGGTTCGTCTGCAGTGACTGTGCACCTGCTGCTCCTCGCTGAGATGCTCTCACCTAAGAACGCCCACTCACTGAGCTAAAAACACCTACAACAACTCAAAGAAATACACACGCCAGAACAGAAACAACTGCACAGGAGCACAACAGCGAGTCCATGAGATACATACCTTGCAGGGTACACACGGATGTGATGAAGATGTGTGTGGCGGGAAATGAACAGTGCACAAAAACCGAGCAGGGTTAGCAGAGGTGACGGAAGCGGGTGAGGAGGTGGGAAGGCAGAAAGGACCGTAGAAACCCCTAGACTGTGGAAACCCATAATTTGTAGGTATCGTAATAATATTACGATACCCCTCAACGAGACCCAGGGACAGCTCATAGCTTATTCAAATAACTAAACATGCAACCTTTGGCCTTTGAGTTACTTCATACCACTAAATTGGTTCTCACAAACATTCCTAATAAAGACCATTACTTGCCCTAGAGGTAAAGTTCAGCAATGGGATCACAGCTGCTCTTCTGCTGTACCTAGGATTTCATGACTGAGACACGAACAGTACAGGATAAACGGGCATGAGGAGTTAGTCCTTAACAGCATGGAATATGGTTTATTTGAGAAGGTACTTTCATTTGCTCTCCCTAACCATCACCTTATTGATAACTCCAATACAAAGAGTCTACGCCTCTGGGTCACATGGTAACCGGTATGCCCAGTATTAAACTACCAGGAATCCAAATGATCAGAAAAGACAGTTCAGTTTTGTAAGAAACAATATATTTTATTTTTCTGACACCACAGCTCTGGCGAGTGGTTTTGTACCAAATTTAATGGAGGTTACACAGAACGTCTTACGCATGGGAGCGGGAGGAAAGGTAAGGAACCACAAACTTTAAAACGAACAGAAACAAAATCCTGGATAGCTTTTAGCATCTGTTCCACTCCCACATTGATAAAAATTCACTCGGGACCTCCTCATAAAAGGAGAACAGAAAAGAAGGTGGGCCGGGAAGGGTACGACGGGGAAGAGAAAGACTAAGGGAGAAAAAGATCAGAGAGCATCCCAAGGACAGACCTTCCCTCCCAGAGCCAGGAGGACGCTCGGCACAGAAGGCGAGGCTTTGCTAGATTTATTTCCCCAAAATAACACTGTGTATTGCAGCTGCCAAAGGGAAAGAGAGAGGGAAGCAGAGGGTCACCAGCGGGGGGCACAAGGGAAGGAACCACTTAACTGAGGAGACAGCAACATGGGAGAGAAAACAGAAAAACGTGCCAGTGGGTTGGTATGTGGGGAGACAGACGGTGCTGAAGAGCACTTGAACTGAAAAACAAATGTCCTAAATGTCATTATTTTTAAAAAGAAAAATCTCCCCCCTCCCCCCACCCCTCGCTGAACTTAGTTCCTTTTTTTGTGCTTTTCATTAATACTCTGCTCTGAGGTCATAGTTTGGTTTGTCTATACACTGGCGTTGAAAGAAAATAGTCCAAAGGTCTGAAGATGGATTCTCCACCTAAAGTAAACAGCCCAGCATTCCTGTTCTCCTGTTGCCCCAAAGACTAAAGTCTCTGCTAAAATCCCTTTTACAATATAGTACAGTACACAAAAAAATAAAGCCCAAATCGAAAAACAAAAACAGCAAAGAATCCTGGGAGAAGCCAGTCCAAAGGACGTAAACATACGGGGAACGGTGCAGCACATGACGGATGGCAATTCTCAAAGCACGGCTACAGATTCGCAAAAGTAGGTGCCGTCATGGGATACCCAAGTCCACAAAAATAATTTTTAAAAAATAAATCTTAAAAAAACACACACCTGTTGATTAAATGAATAATTTGTTTTCAGGTAAATCCATACATTCTCGAGTTCCCCCCTCCCCCACAGCAGCCCTCGGGTCTCTGTTCTCCTATTGCATGACCAATTGGGAAGTACTCCTGGAGCTCCCTCCAAGCAGGACCTGGAATCTCATCTTGACAAGGATCGGCACATCCAATCTTAGCAGCTTAAAACATCATGTTTCCTGGGTTGCCCGGTCCTTGGCTGAATCCAGCCATGCCCACGTCAGCAGCCATGCCCCGGGGCCTCATCTGTGGGGGGATCATGATGTTCTGTTGGGGTCCCATCATGCCCTGCATGGACATTATCATCCCTGGAGAGCCCACAGGCCCAGGGTGGCTGTAGAGCCCAGCAGGCCCCCGATCCTTGCCAGGAATCATGCCCACGGCAGCGGCTGGATTGCTCATCAGGGTGGGCTGGCCGGGCATTGTAGATTGTGCTGGTGACATCATCCGATGGTGAGGTCCCATCATGCCTTGCTGGAGAAAGGCTGGTGGTCTCATGGGGTTGTGGCCTGGCATGGATGGAGCCGTACCAAGAGGGATGTCCGGAGTTCCCACTGGCCCTGGACCTCCCATGCCAGGTAGTGCTAGTCCCATTCTGGGGGCTTGGTCGCCCATCATCCCCTGCATGTGTGAAAACCCAGGTCCAGGACCCTGGGGCTGTTTGCGGCCTGGAACTTCCCCTCGAGGGAAATACTGCAGCGTCTGGCTGGGCTTCTCAGATGGAATAATGCGGGAGAGATCGAACTCAGGTATGCCGGTGGCTCCAGGTCGGATGACCTCCTGCAGATCTGGGTCTGTGAACACTGAAGGCATGCTGTTCCCCAGGACAGTGAAGGAGTCAGGACCCCCGGGGCCTCCAGGCTTGCAAAGTGCTGCATCTGCGGAGCTTTGGGGCAGGTTGCTGGGGCGGCCCAGGGGGCCTTCTCCTGGGAAACCCATCCCTCCTGGGAAGCTGCCCTGACCCCCACTGGGGCCATTGTGAGGGAACGGAACCTGCTGTGGGGGAGACTGTACTGGAGGGAAGCCCTGGGGGAAGCCCATCCGTCCTTGAGGTACCATCGGTGGCTCCTGGGACCCATGCCCCATGATAGGATTGTGTGACATCAAGCCAGGCCCCATTGGGACCCCATGAGGAGGTATGTTGGGTCCCATGGCATTTGGAGAGGGCATCTGATTGGAGTGAGAAAGTGGCTGGGTCATTCCCATTGGGCTGAGGGTTGGCATCGGAACCACGGGGTTTGGACCTGAAATTCGAGGATTCTGTGTATTAATGCCCATTCCTAGAAAAATAAAGATACCAAAGGAATCAACTTAACCCAAAATCAACTCAGAAAAACTGTAATAGATTAACAAAAAAAAACCCATTGTGCATCCAATGTGCATAGTACAATGCTGGGGAAACATAGCACACACGACCCCTGCCGTGAGTAAGATCATAATACATCTGGGGGCATAGGAACCAAGAGCTCTACAAGACATACATTATTGCGTCTTAAACCGTGATTCAGGAATGTGTAGAGGACAGCAAGGGAGAAACTCTCATGTGTGAAAAGTTATAAATTAGCACACAAATGAGCTTCATCTTCCTCACTGGAGACATTTCACACAGGAGAAAACAATTTGCCTGAATGACTTAAGTGCGTCCTTTTGGAGACAGGATTAATCAGTTCTACAATTCCAATGATGGGAAATCGTAACACAGAAACTAAACAGGTCATTTTTCGATTGGCATTTGGCATTATTTTATGGGGCCTTAAAGAGAAAGCATTTAAAACTCGAGATTACATAAAATGTTCAAGAAGTAACTTTTAATAGAAACGGAAAGTAACACATTCTGTACAGTCTCTGGGACATCGAAGTGCTTGGTCCCTGTGGAATTACCACTGGGGGTGGTATAGGGCTTATGCTGTGCCTGGAACATGTGCTACCCGGGTTAATTAGAGTTCCTGATAAATCAATAGCATTTGTAACAATCAGAATAGAACTGGAACCAGAAACTCATGGCTGAAAAGTCACGGTCTCTGCTGATCACTTTCACCATCCTGAGGCTGTTCCCTAGTCAGGGGGCAGAGGTCAAGGGGAGGGGTGAGTACAGGAATGAAGGTGAACAGAATGTATAGGGAAGGAAAGGATTTCATCATCTCCCGAGCCCTCAAAAAAAGGCTGCTCTAGGAAACGGGGGCTTTCCGCTGTCTGAAATCCTGTGCCTGCTTGTGGTTTGAGGCTACTCTTCCAGGAAAAATACTTGAGAACTAAAGACATTCCAATCAGCCTGTTAGAAAGAAACTGCTCTCAATATTGCTACAGGAGGACCAGAGGAGAAAAAAACGAACAAAAACACGCCCTCAAAACCACCCAGGTACACAGAAGCATCAGAACTATAAAGAAACCTGCTTTCTCACAAACAAATAAGGAATCAAGCTAATAAAAAATTATCTTCCTCTAGCCAAGACACTTCCATTCTGCTGAAACTACTTTAGACGGGACATTTTTTCTACTCGTTGAACTTCCACCTATTCAGGTGTACAGCTACTGAGAAAATGCTTCCAGAGGTTTCTCTCGGGTCTAGCACTCACTCCACACCCTGCCTTTCTGATTTCTTACCTGGCATATTATTGATTGATGGCAAGTTGGGAGAACGTGCTGGAGGGGAGTCGTCGTCTGAGCTGGCCACGGTCTTGATGGCGTCATGGTATAACGGGGTGGAACTGGGCATGGCAAACTTGGACATTCGCGACATCATGATAGAGAGTGGGTTCTGGGACAGGGTGGGCTCTGGAGGCATGGTGTAAGGCGTACTAGAGGGAAGACTTCCAGGGACATTCACAGAGGCAGGCTGGCTGGCTGCAGGAGGCGGGGGGCCACCTAAAAGGAAGCAAAGTAAAACGGGCAGGGAATTAGATTCCTTTCGAAGGCTACTGGGCCCTCTGATATGAACTAGCAAGGCCAGGAATGAGACAGATGAACAGGACAGTGTTATTAGACCCCAGACACAAATCATTAATCTTCTAGTCAAGCTTCATGTGAGTGCAGAGGGAGACCGCAGCGTGATACGGGGCGACAGATCAGCAGATGTGAAGACGAACACACCAGGAATGTGTTAGAAATATTAGTTCAAGCTTGGGGAAAATACGGTGTGCAGACGACCATTTCACTGAACAAAATGTGAAACAAATGGATCTCTTGCCAATCACAATTTAGAAACTGACTGAGGTGTTAGTGTGCCACAAAGCCAGACTAGTGATCTAACCCCAGGTACTAATGACATCACGCTACACACATTGTTAATTTCCACAACCAAGACGTTTGAACCAAAAAGGTCCGAGGGGGCTTTTCCGCTGTACTGCTTCGGTGAACTGCTCCCCCGCAGGGAGACACTTTAGCTTGGTAGGATAAACCTTCTGTCTTGCTCTGATCCTAGTCCTTCTCAGGTAGACACAGCACCAACGTAGTATTTACATCTCGGCGCTACTGCCACTGACCACCTCTAGTCCCATTCACAAAACCATCATCATCAGAATCTCTCCCAGGAAGAAAGTACTCCTAAATTGTAGCTGCTCTGTGAAAACAGCGTTCTACCAAGGAGAAGATTGTGGTAACTGTTTTTGTGGTCGGCAGAGATTTACGAGACCCACACAGGTCTTAGAGCAGCTTCCTCTCTCTCTGTTTAGGATTACACCCAGAATCTCTCGATCCAGGGGAAGCCCCTTGCAGTGGGTCCGGTATTTAAAGAAGCCACATTCATCCACTGTCAAGGCATATTATTTATACTCACTGTGCAAATGTAGATACTGGGTTGAACCCAACACATATTCCCCATTTCCCTCTTTTAGCAATCCCATCTGACAGACGTATTTTTTGCTGAGATTGGACACTTCTGCATAACCCCGTGGAAGCACTAATTATGCACCTTGCCACAGATATGTCCATTTCAACAAAGGCTGCCTCCTCTGGCT